CAGGTAGGCAGGTAACATACCATACTCAGAGAAATGTGCGTAACACCTTACATTACTCACAAAAATCTAAATGTTGTCAGTTGGCTCATGATTCCCAACCAGGGGTACTTGTATATCAGGAGTATCTCTACAGGTGCCAAGGAGTATGTAGAACCATTATACTGAGTCAGCAACACCTGAGCAGTACACTTTGTAACTGAGAGTGTGTAAAAAGTATTTAGCAATCAAGTAGGGAAGTCTTAACAGTTACAGTTTAAATCATTAGCTAAATATAATGATACTGTCAATGTCTAAAATATTGTTGATCACTAAAACAACAAATAAATTGATAAAATGAAAGTAATCAATAAATGGTGGGAGCTTTCAGCTTCTGCCAAAGCAAACTGTAGCAGTATGAATGCAACGTTGATCACACTGACCCAAACGTTGACAGTTCAATTGTATGAACCAAATCTTGTAACAATGTCCTTGATATATGATCAGTTGTTTAAAAATATCCATTTAAAAATCTTTTCAACTGTGGAACTTGGTGCATTTTGATGAAGTTGACTTATTTGATGGGGCTGTGGGGAAACATTAGACAAAAAAGTCTGAGAATCGTGCTCATAATTATATTCACACACCATCAAATTGATTTACAGAAACATAACAGCTGAAGGTTTCAGGGATTTTATGTTTACTGTCTTTGAAGTAAAAACACTGGAACTTTAACATCTCCATCTGTGCTCACCTACTTCTGGTGTGTGTGCTTCTGTGTGTGCTTGTGGTTGTGCGCAGGTGTCTACTTGCATGAGACTGTAAGCACTTTGCTGAACTTGCAAAGTACAGCCACACAGCAGCTGTGAGGTGCCTCTCAAGCCAAACAGCTAAATCATGCAAGCACACACTCACACACACACACACACACACACACACACACACACGCACCGACACACAGTATATACACTATACAGAGACCTGCAGTGGTCGAGCATCTACAGTACATAGGGTTTGCCAGGGTGTTGCTAAGGCAACAAATCACTGGCTGTCCCATGGGTGAGTCAGCCTTCCCCAGGAGAAATATCACCCTCGTTGGTCAGAGAAAGAGCAATCCTATTACCCCTCAATGTGTGTGTGTAGGCACACTGTACATACTGTTCTTTTCATTGTGCTCTTTTTTCAAATTTGGTTCTAAATCCCTTCTACTGCGCCTCTTTCCTTCTCTATTTTTGTACCTTCTTTGATCCATTTTTGCACCAGTGAAGCGATCAAATCTTTGCTAGGTGCATGCTACAGTAAATGTTCTTGATTGTGTTGATTCCACAGTTTCACTCTCAAATTTTAAATGTTCATGGTGTCTTGCATTTTTCATTTAAAAAGCAGCAATTTATCTTATTAAATGCAAAAAAAAAAAAGTTACATTACAAAGCTTACGCAATAATATGTACAGAGACTGGGTGTTAGCGTGTTTAAAATAGTTGACTAAAGTACATTAAGATAACTTTTGTTATAAATCAACCAAAAAAATCTTTAGTACTTTTTAATCAGCTGACTACAGATTTTACAGAATGTGAAAACAACTGTGACAAAAAACACATTTTGTTTGTGTGTATATAATGTGTATACAGTATACATACACTGACGAAGCGCTCATGTGTACCCTCAGAGGAGATGATGGTTCCGTTGAGTCCGACCAGTGACGGCAGAGTCTGGGACATCCAGTTAGTGACCATAGCCATGGTGCTGAGCACAGCGCCAATCTTCAACATGGGCACACTCATCCTCATACACTCACATTCAGTCACAACACACACACACACAAGGAACCTCTGGTTGGCTCTCACACACAGTCCAAACTGCTGGCAGTAGTCATGCTAAAAACAGCAGGTACATGACATGATGCTACAGGTAAAACGTTCACACTCAACAGTTTGTAGCTAAGAATCCAAAGTCAGTGATTTCTGATACGAGCAAGGCTGGGACTGTCCCCCTGTCTCCACTTCTACACTGCCACAGATTAGAGAATAAATCCTGGAGCATAAGACACTCCAGATGCTTCAATATGAAGACGCATCAAGTCCAAGCATCCAGCTCAGGCTGTAGGAGATGCTCCTGGGAACAGCTGGCTTGGGCCCACTGAGCTGTGTGTGTGTGTATTCTGGACTCCTTCCTTCGCCTGGCAGTAAGACGCTGTGGCTGAGCCAGCCCTGCGCTCTCATTTATCCACTAACTCTCTGCCTCCTCCTCCCTCCCTCCCTCTCTCAAACACACTCCTCCATCTCTCCCTCTCACTCATGCTCTCACCTATTCCTATTCAACACTTTTTTTCTTGCTTTTGTCATTTCTTTTCGTACCTATAATCATATTCTCCTTATTTTCCTGTCTAATTTCATCTTCATTGCACTCAAGACATTGAAATATTGAATTGAATAATATATATTGAGTATTGACTAAATGCAAATGCCTCCATGAAAACACAGTGCTCCTGACTGACCTGCTCTCAGTCTGTGTGTGTGTGTGTGTGTGTGTGTGTGTGTGTGTGTGTGTGTGTGTGTGTGTGTGTGTTTGTGTGTGTGTGCATTTGTGCTTCACAGGCATTGGAAATCGATGCAACACTGACACCATGTGGCCTCTGGTGCTTCCCAACATTGAACTCAGTATGCAAGCTGGTTCACGCCAGATGTGATCAAAGCTGGAGAGAAAGTGCAAGATGTTCAGAAGCTGCTTTATTTGATCTGTGTCTACAGCATTTCCATGAAAGCAACTCCCAAAATAAAATCTAGCCAAGATACCACTTCTGTGTTTGTGTCTATCTGGACAGGGGACTCCAGATCAGAAAGAGATAGTTGGTAAATCTGGCACAGAACAGAAGTCAAGACACTTTTTATTTGTATAGCCCAATATCGCAAATCACAAACTTGCATCAAGGGCCTTTACAATGTGTACATATCTTTCCTTAGACCCTTGATTCAAATAAGGGAAAAGAATCAAAACGTCTGACTCACACTTAGTGAGTGTAACCGCCTGTGCTGCCCCTAAAGAGTGCCTCTCTAAACTAAATTGTGCTATCAAGCCCAGCACCGATTTTCAGAATTAAAATTAACAGGACCTTATCTCTCCTTCAGCTTTCTCTGCGAATGTCTGATTCACAAAAAGCAAGAATTTGGCTTCCGAGTTGGGGGAGAGGGCACAGTGTCTCTTCTTAGCTTACATGAGCAGACAGTAAACAGCAGCTGCATCACCCAAAGGACTTCAGGTAGACCCATCTCCATCTTTTCCTCTCCTTCAAGTCCCCCTGGTGTTGATCGAGCTTTGGCTCAGACATAAAGACAACACACACAGTGTGACCCTTCAGAACACTTGGGAGATTCTGACATTCTCATCAGGTACCACTGAGGACTGTACACCTCCCTTTGTTGCCTCGGGGTTATGGACCTCTGTGGTGACTGAGCTGGAGTGACTGAATCCCCTCTGGCTGTGGAAGAAGAACACAGTCCTGGTGTCAGCTGGGTGAGGAGGAGCCACTCAGGCACCAACTGTCTTGGAAAGGATGAAAGAGGGGATGTAGGGAAGGAGGAGAGAAGGATGATTTTCCTTTATGTCCACACAGACAGTAGACACACGGTTAGATAATGGCTGGGTAGACTTATTTGTGAGTGACAGATTGCATATAGATAACACTGTTGGTGGCTAAAAGAACTTTTTTTTTATCACCAACTATATTCTTAATAGTAGTTTAAGTCAATTTCCTAGTAACTGCTAACTGCTCCATATTAGGCATTGCTTTCTGTTTCACTAATTAAAACTGTTCTGCCTGTGTGTGTGGGTGCATAATGTTCCTACCTTTGAAGCTTTCTCCTCCACTAGCCTCCAGATCTAATCTCTGTTTAACTAACCTTGGAGTCCCAGTGAACCGTAACTCCCCTGGCTCCACTAGCTCGATGGTGATAATCAAATCAAATCAAAATCAAATATCAAACAGTACTGATTGTACTTACAGCCCTTTGCCTTATGTGATAATCTATAAATTATATTTGGGGTTTTGGTCTGTTGGTCAAACAAACAAGCATTTCCCCCATTTTCTGACATTTTACACATCACACAATTGATTAATTAAGAAAACACATTGGCATGTTAATTGATAATGAAAATTAGTTGCAGTTCCACATTTCTGATGGTAGGATGGTAGACCCTCATCTTTTCAATTTGTTACAGGAATGCAAACACAATTTTCTCCTAAACTAATTTTTCTCTATTACTCATAAGATGCTATTTTTTAACAAACAGCTGTCTGCAGAAAGCTTAAATAAAACAATCTAAAACTAGCAAAATTATGACTTAAAGCCTGAACTATCAGAACAAAAATAAACAGATGAATATGAATCTAAGTATTTCATTATTCACTGGTAGGTGATGGACACACACTATCAAAATAGTATTGAAATTAGCTGGAATACTCACAAAATAAATAAATAAATGGAATATAGGTAAATGAGTCCGAGATATGAAACGGAGCCATAATATATCAGTTAACAACTGATGTATCAAAACATAAAAAAGCACTAATAAAACTAATAAATGGATCCAGCCCACACTGGGCTGGACTTCTCATGTCATTGCTGAAAATTAGCACTTACACTGTGTTCATCTTCTTCATCTCATTAAAGTTTCAGCATCACTGTAAATGTCCCTGTTAGATGTCAGGAGAGAGAGAGAGAGAGAGAGAGAGAGAGACAAAAGACTGGGGAGAGATGAGGGTCACCAAAAAGGGTGATTGAGGCAAGACTGAGACAGGGAGACAACTACGAATGATGCATACTCAAGGTGCAGTGTACACCAAGTACAAAATACTACTGCTTTATAAACGCAATCCCATTAAATACAACTTCGCTTGGAATCTAATTAAAAACCTTGCTTAAACCCAAAGGCAGCCCGCTGCCGTAAACTTAGGAATCATTGTTTCAAATTTTAAGTTTGAAAAGAAAGTACAAGGGGTTATTGTTTTTTGCTGGTTATGTTTATTGCTGATCTAAAGAAAGTTATTCATGCCTTTATTTCAACCCAACACCACTATTTAAATTTCCCATATTCTGTGCTGACAAAAGCTCTTTGGTGTCACTGCAAAATACAGTCGCTAGGTTTTTAACTGGAACTCCGAGCACATTACGCACATTAAACCATCCGTCTAACTGCCTTTACAATGTAGTTTAATACTTTACTGACCAATTAAGTGATATTAAATTGATTGTCTCCAGCCTAGTTATAAGGATGCTTAAGGTTTTAAAGTTACTTTTAATTGATAAGAATAATATGTGGTTATCAAGCACGCCATACATAACCATCAATAAAATGTTTAATCAGCAGCAGTAACAGATCAAATACAGCCCTAACAAGACCATGTTCACTATCTTGACTTTGCATAAGCTAACATTAACATTTGCTAGCAATTTTAGGGATTTATTTATTTTGCTTTACAGTTATTAGACCAAAAACCAAAAATACTGGACAATTTCAAAATATTCACTTCTGGATGGTGCTCAATCCAAAAATAATGGATCATCAGAGATATTCCAATTAATCCTCAGGGAAACAAGAATGTTGTGTCAAACTTCATGGGAATCTATACCAAATACAAGATATTTAAACCACAAACATCAGCCTGCTGGTGGCGCTAGAAGAAAAGTCAGAGGATCACCAAAGCCAGTAAGATTCTTCCTCTGGGTCATGGATATCTGCGGCAAGTTTCACGGTAATCGATCTTAGTTGTTGAGACTAAAGGGTGTTAAAGGAAAAGTAAGGTATCACCAGCATCTGCTCCTCTAACCTTAACTCAGTTGGCTTTGTTTAGCAAATGCATTCAATAAAACTAAATCTCATCATATTAACTTAAATGTACACTATGTACCTTTATTAAAATATGTTACTCAGTCATTCTCCAAACAAATATGCATACAAAGACCTTGAGGCGATCATGTACCACAGTTTGGTTTGTTAAAAAAAACATCACAATATATAAAAATTCACTGCCCCAGTTCCCTTTTACAAAGAAATGTACTCCGCAAGGAGCTAAATAATAGCACCATGATGACTTGCACTCCAATATACATCATTATAACATTACAACAAACAAAAACAACACAACAAATTGAGGTTTGATAACACAGAACAACAAGGTGGGTGTGCCGTTTTAGTATTTTTTGAAGATGATTCACTGATAATAATGTTGGGGACCTCTGTTTGCTCCAGCTTGTGACTCTCATGTATTACACAGACTCAAATCACAGTGATAATCTTCCATCAACTGGCAAAATGGAGATTTGCTAACTGTTTTTAACCCCATGCCAACCCACTCACACTTCCCAAACCCTCATAGACTCTTATAATGATGCGGAATCAAAAATAATTCTGTCCGATGCAAGAAAAATATCATATTAATCAGTTTTGCGGCTATATGCATTCCTCTCATTTAAACAACGCTGGTGACAGGAAATGGCATCATCGCTCTGGCTTTGTGTGAAAGAGACTCGACCACCGACTGGGCTCAAGTTTCACAAAGAAGGTGAGTGAGACTACATCAATTCCTGTCACCATCTTTGCATAAATGAAAAGAAGTTGGTTTACCTGAAAAACTGACAAAAGCGAAATATTTCCAGGACCGGAACATCTTGATTTTGATTTGACGGTGTAAGGTTAAAAGGGTCGGCAAGTCTCAGTTTTGCAGATTAATTGAGGATTATCTCTGCGACTGGAGTATATGTAATAGATGAGAGTCACACACTGGGGCTAGACCTGTGTATGATTAGGTATACAGTAGATGGGAATTGAGTGCAAAGATCACTGATTATTAATTACTGAATAACTGCATGAAACTGTGAGAGCACCACTCACTCCTTCAAAAGAGGAGTGATAAGAAAAAATGTGTGTAATGGAGGACGTGGTCAACATGAATAAATGTAGAGTATGTGTGTTGAAAGCAATCTGAGTCAGCTGTGAGAGGTGAATGAATGAATGAAGGAGAGCCTGAGTGAATGAATGGATGGATGTATACAAGAACAAATGTTCAGATGAAAGAACACTGATGTAGGTAAGTTGACTTATAAATATGAGGCACCAGGTAAGTCTTGAATGTAGTTTACTCCCTGCATGTAAAAAGCGTCCATGGCTCCTTTTCCTACACAATTACCCCCACTGTAAGCTCCCCCGGTTCAGTTAACCATTGAAGCAGATTGGGCCAACTTGAAAACCAAATTTCTGGTTTCCGTTTCCAAAATCGGACACAGCCACATCAATGATGGGGAGTGTGTTGGACAGAGGAGCATCAAATTCCAACACCGTCCTCTCCTGCCCTGAGCGTGTCTGCAGGGAAGAAACACAATCAGGAAACACGTGTAGGTATGTGTGTTCACACTCAGATTTACAGTATGTCTGCCTTACTCACCTGACACCCGTCATACAGTGCAATGATGTAGTGTGTGTTTTCATGCGTCAGCTCGTCCCCGTTGCTGCCTCTGAAGCGCAGTGCGTATTCATGGCTGTGGGAGGCGGAGTGCAGCCAGGCGGCAGAGTTGAGGCAGTGGTAGGTGAAGGTCTGTTTGGCTGTCGCACTGAGCAGCTTCAGGAAGGTCAACTGGACAATGTGGAGTGGAACGCCATCTGACCCGAAGTAGGTAAACTGTAGGAGAACACCAGAACCACATATTCATACATGTTTGTTCAGCTTCCTCTCTGAGGACACTCATTGATATAATTAGATTAGATTCAACTTTATTGTCATTACACATGTACAAGTACAAGGCAACAAAATGCAGTTTAGCATCTAACCAGAAGTACAATAACATCAGTGCAGAGTGCACAGTATCTACAGTCTGTACAGTCAGAACTAATTTACTGGTAGATACGTGCAATTGATATTTACAGTAAGATACTGTATGTAAGGTGATGTACAATATACAACAGACTTTATGGATTTAAATTACAAGTAATGAACAAAGTACATTAAGCTTATAAAACACTAGTGCAATGGGATGAAATGGAATGAAATTGTGCAGAATAAGAAGACAATAAGTTACATAATGCATTCCCTAGGCCCTTAACCCTAACCTTAAAAATCACAGCTAAATGCCTAACACCCACCCTTACTATAACCCTGACCTAAAATTAATTCTAACCTAAAACCAAGTCTTAACCCTCAAACAGCTCATTGAACGGGTGTGTGTATATTAGGACCAGCCAAATGTAATCACTTCTATGGTATAAAACTCACAATATGCAGTATAGCCATAAAAGTACAAACATTTACACACGTATTATGTTGTGAACAAATAAAGCAGACAAAATGAAGTACACTGACAGGCAGTTTTGTGCACAATCAGTAAAGGCCAGATGCAAGAAAACAGATTCAGTAATGGAAGTACTAGATTTTCACTACACTGATGTTCTGGCACTTTCAAGTCTTCATTAAGCGGATATGAAAAATGAACTGTACAGAGTATAGGGGTACAAAACTGATGGCATCACCAAACCAACCTGATGGTTAAAAAATAAAGCAACACAGTTTATAATCACCTGGTCTATGAGGGGTTTATTGTGCTGACTGTGACTTTGACCTGCTGGCAATGCATAATGAAAAATTAGAGGATCATCAAAGTTATTGCAGTTTAGAGGAGCCTGCATGTCTGTACCATATTACATGGTAATCCATCCAGCAGGTGTTGAGATAAAGATGTTTAGAACAAAAGCTGTTCTAAAAACCTTAATAAAATGAAGAGTGCCTCTTTAACAAATGCTTCTAAGGGGCATTCAACCAAAGACACTGCACATTTGAAACAGCGTATTTCACAAAACTTTTCCAAGACGTGTTGGATAAAAAAATTGATGGCATGCAAAATCATCACACTATACCTGTTTTCCTTTCCTGAATTTACTGTACCAGGTGCTGGGCTTTTCCCCTTTCCAGGCTGCTAACTTTACCTGGGGGCAAGCAAAGAGAAAATCAGCTTTGATTCATTGAATCAACAAACAGATGATGTCTCAATAATGTTTAATCTCTCTCTAAGTCATTTGGCTTTTGGCAAAGGCTCATGTTAGCATTGAACAGCTTATCAGATGCTCAAAATAAAAACTATGAGTGTGTGTGTGTATGTCTTCATGTAAACTAACCGACTGCAACTTCTTGTCAGGATACAGACATGTCTCTCCCTGTGCTGTGAAGTTACAAAACACCTTGAAGGAGTCTCTATAGCAGCCCTGGTTGGGATCTATCCAGTACTCACCTGGAGAGAGAGAAGGGGGGAGAGGTGGTCAGAGAGGTTGAAAACGCAAGTACCAATGCTACTGTCAACAACAAACAGAACCAAATCACACATACACAATGATATTAAATGGAGAGGAGGATACACGGAGGACTGGAGAGAGAAAGGCAGGGAGAGAAAATGATCAAATTACCATTGGGGAGCTCTGGGTGGAGGAGCCAGAGCTCCTTGCAGGTGCGGGCGGGGCTGTGGTATGTCCCTTGAGGGTTGCGCAGACCCTCAACTTCCAGTTTCATAGAGGACAGAGATGCAAACACTTCCTCCATGCCTCGGCCTTTTTTCTCCTTCGCCCAGCTGTTCTGCTCCGCCTGGTCTCCTTGCATCCATTCTTCCTCTCCTCCATCTACTGCATCCTCCTTCTCCTCTTCATGGCCAGCACCATCCACCAAGTTGTGTGTTCTTCTTCTCCTTCCTCGCTCTGGCAGCGGGGCTATCACAGCCGCTGGTATTCCCTAATGATAGGAGAGGAGTGGAGAGGTAAGAGAAAGGCAACAAAAAGAAAAGAGTGAAGTTGATGAAATAGTACAGATACAAATGAAAAAGGTGAGGTTAGGGACAGTGGGGTGATGTCACATGTAAATAGGAAAGTACTGTAAATAAGGGCTATAAAGTTACTACATTTCTGTAGGTAATACTCACTGGTGGTCCTGGAGGCCCTGCTGGCCCAGTGTCTCCTCTGGGGCCAATCGGACCCTAAACACACACAGAGCAAAATGATTAGTTTTGGGTAGGAATGGATAATTCAACCCAATAAAACAATGAGCATCACAGTTACCTGGCTTCCTTTAGAGCCCTTTAGACCAATAGCACCCTGTGAGAGAGGCAAGGAGTTGAAAGAGGAGAGACAGACATAGGATGAATGCTGTTCAGCAGTCTTCTTGCTAAAAATAGTGCCGTATATTTGCAGGCCATGTATTGTCAAGATGGTCCTGTTTACTCACAGACAAACCCGTGAGGCCAGGGGGACCGGGTAGACCTGCGGGGCCGACTGGACCCTGAAATTAAACAGGAAAGAGACAAAACTGTCAGGTGAAGAGAACAAATGTATCTGCTGGAGGTCCCTACTAAAAAGAATGAGTCTGTAAAGGGTAAGGCTGAAAAGACTATTTTACATATCAAATCTCATGAAAAGACCAAAACTAACACTGTATCTGAATCAAAGTTATTTTTATGTGATGAGACTAAAGTAGGATTATCCTCAATTTATATTCTCTCCCAGACAACATTAAGTATCCTTATGGTGGAATACTTGGCTCCGCGTTCGCTGTGTCATCCTGCTGTTTTTGGCACCATGTAAGCACAAAACACCGCTGCTGGATTTAAAATTTGGTTACTACTTACTATAACTTAATACCCTAATAAAGTCTAATTATACCCTATGTGTCAGCAACCTCAAAAAATGTAAATTCAAAAATTCACATTTCATCTATAATGTTTTGGCAATGTGTCTGCTGTTTCCTGATAACTTCATCATGCTGGTCAGGTTGGCCCAGCCTATACTCTGTAGGACAGTGTGATCATGCATAGATAATATTTAACCCAAATGAAGAAAGTTTTGTCTGGAAACAGCCACATGACAAACATACTAAACTATAAGTTTCCAAGACTAAGTAGTAAGTTTTCTCTGTGCATCTTCGCAGATTTGCTTCCTTTAATTGTCAGCATATTTTTTTAGGCATGGATTGGGGCTGCATATTTCTGTTCGAACCCGCCCCGTGCCCAAGAGTGTGGTGTCTGAACTTGACCCACTCCTGACAAGCTTATAGTATATAATGTCTGAACCTGACCCAAGGCCGACGCAGTTGAATTTGTACTGACATTTGAGTGCTTCACAGGTCTGGCCTAAAGTTTGACCAATGTGACCGAAACCAACCCAGGCCCGAACATGATTTCTCAATCTCTGTCCAAACCCAGCCCAAACCCCTCAGGTACTGAAGGGCAGGGATAGAGGTTAATAATTTTAAGAACTGTCCCCATGGGCAAACCTCTAAATTTGGTGGCCCAAATGTATGTACAATCAATGCAGAAAAAGCTATTTAGCGCAACGTAACACAGCCTAACTGTGACACTTCAATACAAGAAAAGCATGAAAATGTGTGACTATGTTTAAACTGGAAACTCAAGCTCATTTGTAAACACATATATTCTCTTAGTTCACTGTCACATTTTTTCAGCCCTCCATGTCTCTGCCTCATATCCCCTCTCTTTTGCTCCTTCCCTCCCAGCACTGTGCCCGAGTCCGCTATGTCTGCGACAGAAACCTATAATACATACCTGTAGCCTTCCTTCTCAAAATACATGGGCAGAAAGAATATATTTTTTAAATTACAGTATTTTGAATTGAAAACATGATATACATCATCTCAGTTCACCTTTTTCACAACCACCATGCATTCCTGTGCTTGATATACACACTCTCTCCCTCCCTCCCAGCATCTACCATGCATCAGTAGTGTGTAGATCACAATACGTTACATCATTAGATGTATTATATTCTAGCCAATTAAATTCCTGCTTCCATTCACTCGTACATTCTCACTGCTGGTTTTCATAGTCCATTTTGTGTTTCTGGTTGCTCTGTAGCAATCAAGTTAGACGTTTGTCAGAAGTTTGATTAGGCTCAGTAAATGCACACTGCAGCAATCCGACAGTACGGCAGTGAGCTGATGACAAGTAACCTCACTGTTTGCTGCTTTTGTAGAATGCTGAACTAAAAGGTGTGAATGAAATGGGATGTTTGTGTAACATTAACGTTGCACTGGCAAAGTGCAGGGGGATGTGTGGATGTTTTCAGGACCTCATCTCCTTTTGGACCAGGTAGCCCCTGGTTTCCTGGCAGTCCTCTGTCGCCCTTCTCTCCAATGTCTCCTGGTGGCCCTATCAAGCCTATTAGACCACCGTGACCCTGCACAGAGATCACAAATGACATCAAAGTCACAGTGACATCAGAGTAAATGTTTATGTGTGTGCAGTATGAGCGCACCTTGTCTCCCTTCCTGCCAGGGTCTCCTTTCAGCCCTGGTAATCCTGGAGGACCCTGAGAAGATCAAAAACAAGTTCATATGTGGCCAGTAAATATAAAAAAACATTCTTTGTTTTGACAGAGAGATAAGTGATGATAAGAGTAATCATGCTAGAAAGCCTCCAGATTTCATTTGTTTTGGCCTGTTTATAAACTCTATAGAGTATTTACACCAAAAGTAATTTTGAATGGTGATTAATTTTCTGCATTATATTCTTGATTTGAAGTATCATCTTACCATGGGACCTGGTGGTCCTGTCTGGCCCGGTGGTCCATTTAAACCTTGCTCACCCTGAGTGAAAGACAGAGACAGATCTGCTTTCTTAGCCTCCATTTTATTCATGCTTCATTACAACCGTTCTTTTCCAGATTCTCTTCTCTTAATATAACTGACTTACTGCAGGGCCAGGGATTCCTCTTAAACCTTGAGGGCCTGGCTTCCCAGGGTGCCCCTGACCACCCACAGGCCCCTTTTTCCCAACGAGACCTTCTAACCCGGGAGTACCCTGCACCAGGCAGAAAAAAGGTGACCTTTGGAAGCTGTGAGTATTCAGAGGCTATTTAATTTTGTTTTTAAAGCTCACCTTTGATCCTTTCAGACCTGACTTTCCTTCCTTTCCTGGTTTACCCAAGTGGCCCTGAACAACATAATTTGAAAGTACTGTTATACAAATGCACAAATGTACACACATACTGAGAGAATGCATTAAGAAAAATACCCCAGAATTCACCCTAACAGGGGCATGCTGACACTGATACATAAACAGAGAAACACACATACCCTTCGTCCAGGAGGTCCAGGTGGTCCAGGTTCTCCTGGTGCTCCTGGTGGGCCCTGAGAAATTTAAAGAAATGGGTCACATGACCAGTCATGTTGTAAGGTGACACCATCATTAGTGTTTATAAATTAAACTATGATGGATTGTCATAGTGTGTGGTGTGGAGCTCACAGATTTTCCAGGCTCTCCTGTGTCTCCTTTAGATCCGGGCAGACCATCCAAACCCTGAAGGAAAGAAAAATAGTGGGCATAGGAAAACGATACTATGTTTTTACTATGTCTTAAAGGTAAATGAAAGCCAATAAATAAAGAAGTAAGTAAGCAACACAGAAGAGGATGGGTTATTTGATTGATCTATGCTAGGCATCTTCAGCCTGTATGGTCATACAACACACTAGAAAACAACAACCAAGACCTTCTGTAACATTGTGTCATGATGTAGAACTTCACTACATAGACTACAACAACTAAACTCTTTCAAATAGTCTCTGTACATGTGGAAATGAAAGTAATATTTCGACCTAAAATGTCATTACAAAAGGACGGCTGTAAGGTCTAGACCTTACTATGTAAAGTGTCCTTAGATGACTTTTGTTGTGATTTGGTGCTGTATAAATAGAATAGAATAGAATTACAAAAACACATTTTTATCTCAGAAGATCTTTTTGGTTGGCGTTTGCTCTGTTAATTGGACAAGATATTTCTAAAATTGAAAAAAAAAAAGAATTTGAAATAAAGAAAAAAAAGGAAAGAGGAAGACAAACAGAAAGAATGGGCACGCACATTGGGTCCAGACTCTCCCTGCTGCCCGATGTCCCCAGTGAGACCTATAGGACCCTGAGGAGAGTGAGAGAAAGAGACTGAGCTAGTGAAGCATGACTGTATATTGCATGTACTGTATAGCTGAGAGCAGTAGGCTATAAATGTGTTCTGAATCACGTACTGCCCTACAAAGTCTGTTTGGTCAACAAACCATGGAACACATAAAATGTAATGCTTTCATTTTATGCCTTTAATGCTGATCATATTAACCCCAAATAATTGCCATATAATATCAAAAAATGTGGATACTGCACTCTGCCTTTGGATGTTCACTGAATTCAAAAGGAAAGGTATTGGTTTATGTAAATATGTGATTTAAAGGTAACTTTACCATACCAAATCAAGAATCCAAAGCTGAGAGGGTAGATATGAAGATTTGCTATGTGTAAGCTAGTTAGCTTTAGCAGGGTTTTAGCTAGTTGGATTGCTGGAATTAGATGGTGCCCCATTTAGATAGACAGTTTATTATCATTGCACAAAAACACAGTAAAACTTTGTTTGGTGTAATCCACTCCAAGTAACAGTGTTAGAATTCCAGGGCCACTAGAACATCCAATATGATAATAGCTAAGTCACCCATCTTATATTAGCAATATAAGATCTGGTTTTTGGTATGAGTGTTTCTCACAGCATTGCCCTTGGGTCCGTCCTCCCCTGGTGGGCCCCTGGCTCCCGAAGGACCAGCTGCGCCTGAAGAGCCTGTGTCTCCCTTCTCCCCCTGATCTCCTTTTCCCCCCTTAAGTAATGGAGGAGCAGCATAAACAGTTAAGAGGAATGAGGCAGAGGAGAAGTGCAAGTGTAACCTAGAAACTGAAGATGGTGGGAGCGGGTCTGAAGATGTTTTTGATCAAGCAAACAAACTCACTGGCTTTCCTGAAACACCAACTGGTCCAGGGTCACCTGCTTCACCATCCTCCCCCTAAGACAGAATGATACTCAGTGTATAAAATGAAGGAAGAGATGTAAGTTGTTCATTCCAAAGGTGTTATTGTCAGTTTCTGTACCTTCTCTCCAACAATACCTGGCTGTCCTACCATCCCTGTTCGACCTGTCGGACCCTGTACAGTACAAATATCAGAGTTTCCTCAAAATGCACTGTGAGTGTTTGGCTGAATGAGACTGCATAAATATTTCTGTGAGACTTACCTGTCCCCCAATAGGCCCCTGAGCACCAGCGGGACCTTGTTGCCCAGGTGGGCCCTAAAACCAGGTATGTGAAGTGGGTGAAAAAACAATCACTAATTAATTTGTATAAATAAAGAAAAATGTTATGGACATAAAGAACGGATGTTTAAACAGTATATAAACTCACCATTAGTCCCACATGGCCGCTCTCACCCTTTTCTCCGGGCAGGCCAGGCATACCCTACGAATACACACACAGGATTTCAGTGTAGACCTTGATGCTCACTCCATTTTTTCAGAAGTCATCACTTCAGCGGTCTGCACCCTGACGTGTGCACAAACCTCACCTGTAATCCCACTGGCCCTGTGGAGCCCTTGAAACCACGGAATCCCTCATCTCCTTTTGGACCGTACATGCCCTGCTGGCCGCGGGGACCTGGCTGTCCATCCAGACCCTACAACACAGAGTGTCAGAAGAATAAACACAAAGAGAAATTTGTTACAACTTTGAAATGACTGAAACGGTCCATTTATTCTTTAATGTGATATTAATTCCTGCAAAAACAGCTGTTGAGATGATGGACCAGTCAGTGATTGAGAGGGAGACTTTGTCATGAGGGGATCAGATTCAGGTTCAGTTCATATTTAGTAGATCTGAATCTCATTTCCAGTAATGGCTTTAATCTCACTGCACTGTGTTTTTAAGAACTGTAATAACCTGGTCACCGGCCACATCTTTCTCAAGCGTGTGCTGTCTACTTCTGTTTTCTACGTGCAGAAGATGCTGTGGCTGCTTTGACATAGGGTACAGTATACTGGTGCTGCTTTCTGTTAAAGCTGATTTCTTAAACTCAATGTAAACAGAAACACTGTCAATAAATAAATAAAAATCAGGATTAAATGTCTTCTATCACTGATATGGGTAAAAGAAAGCCATGGGGTAAGGGAGAACTCTAACTACTGACCTGCTGTGTGTATACACAGATCCACAGTAACCAGGTTACTACAGTGTATGTACACTCGTTTCCCCTTTTTAATGAGTAACCTGGTTTCTTGAGTGCATCTAAATGTACTGACTAAGTGTGAACAGTCTAAAGCAATTTAATTTTTCAATGCACAAAACTTTAACTTTGGGATTTTCTCATCAACTCTGTGTGACAGTGTGATTTGAAGTCTTTCAGTTTTCAAGACACTTGACAAAAACAGAAAAAATACAAAGAGAAGAACAGACTCACCGGGAGCCCTGGCTGACCGACGGGCCCTTGAATGCCAGTGGGGCCTGGAGGGCCCTGTGGAAAGTGTGTGTGAGAGAGAGGGAGACAGACAGATAAGACAGGAGGAGACATTCAGAAATGATCACAACTGCTCTGATTATGGAGTACAGTCCATGTTGATGGGCTCCAGCTGCACACTCACTGCTTCCCCTTTGTCTCCTTTGCTGCCTTTCTGTCCAGGTTGTCCCTGCTCTCCCTGTGGACACACACACAGAGAGGACACACAATTTATTGCAATGGCACAAACACACAGTCTCTATCTGCCTCGCTGATTCCCAGAGACACACAGATTACCTTATCCCCGTCATCTCCCGAGGGTCCTGCAGGGCCTGTAGCTCCAAGCATCCCTACAGGTCCCTGGTCTCCATCCTGACCTGCTGGTCCAACAGGACCCTTGTCTCCCTGGGACACAAATACACACATTCAACATGTGCTATTCTCCATACATACTAAAAAAGACACAGAGATACAACTGATCACATGGGTATTTTATACACGGCTTTCTTTCCTTCCATAGTGAATATGGGTTTGTACTTCATATTCTGAAAGTATAAATAAGCCAGTGAAATGCCATGTCACTGAAAATTAATGGGAAGACATAATAAAAGAAACACAAATCAAAGAAGCACAGAAGAAAAGAGTTAGATGTACTTACAGGCTCGCCCTTCTCTCCCATTGGTCCAGGTCCTCCAATCGGTCCGCTCCGACCGGGCTGTCCGATGGCACCAGCTGCACCTGGAGGGCCCCTTTCTCCTGTCGGCCCCTACAGGCAGGAAGTACCAGTTGTGGAACTTATTGACAGACAAAACTAATGAGGCATTAAAAGCTAAACTTGGATTTATTCAAAATGTCTTTTTGTAGTTTCAATTTTAACAAATTATTCAAAAAAATAAAATTTTCTATGTGAATTTGTTCAAAAGAAATGAAATAGAGCTCTAAAACAAATACACAACTGAAGACATATGGTTTCATTTAACAAACAAACACATTTTAGAAAGCAAACTGAATATGAACTACAGTAAATAAATTGCTGATCTGTAACTCACTATGGGTCCTGAGGATCCAGTAGGTCCTGACCCTCCTTTCAGGCCTGGAGGTCCCTGAAAAGATTACATATATTTTGTACCATATAGCTTATATTACTTAGCATAATAAGAAATAAAATAATTTGTATGGACTCTGTATTTGTGTGTGTGCTACCATGGCTCCAGGGGCTCCTCTGCTGCCCCTGAATCCTTTCAGTCCTGGAGGACCATTCTTCCCAGATGTCCCAGGTAAACCTGGATCACCCTGAGAAACACAAAAAAGTATAAATATTATACAACCAGAACAAAAATGATGAGGTGATGATCTGTGTTACTCAGCTGTGTGAACTCACCTTTCCACCTTCCTTCCCAGCAACCCCAGGTAAACCATGCTCTCCGGGTACCCCTGGTACCCCTGGGTGACCTCGGTCGCCTGTTGGGCCAGACTCTCCTGATTTTCCCTGAAATGCACACAAGTGATTGGGTCACTTACAGCAAAATACAGGAGAAATAATAAACCACAGAACTGATTCACATTGCTGAACTCACCTGTGGCCCCACAACACCCGAGGGTCCAGTGGGTCCCGTCTTCCCTTGGAATCCCTGTAGTTACAAAAAAGACAGGTATAAAACATATGTGTGGGGTTAGGGTGGAGGGGTTAAAGAAAGAGTGCAGTAACTGATGACCTCTAGTGAACTCACTCACCGGCTCTCCTCTTTGACCTGGGTGACCTGGAAGTCCATCCTTCCCAGCTAGACCCTACACACACACAAAGTGAGAAATTAAAGGGGATCCTGATACAAATCTGGCCTCTAGAATTCATGTAATGTCCATGAAATTAAAGCTGAGTGGGGGGGGGGAATAGTCTTAGTAATCACAGGTTCCTTTGATTCCATATGACTGCCTTAGGTGATTGAATACAGGGCCGTGCACACAGACATTTTGGGGGTCAGGTGCTCAAGCTAACAACAGCAACAATTATTAATTTAAAAAAACATTACCTGCAGTATCACATCTTTGCATTAGCACTGTAAGTCTGCATATGATTTGAGGAAAAATATTAACATGTAACTACAGCAAGATCAAATGAATGGTTAAACTTTCAAACATGGCCCTTTCAAACATTTTATATATATATTATATATAAGATTTTGCTGTATTCAGTACGTGCAGACATGTAAATAGTGCAGAAATCACATATTTACACAGTTCCTTCTTGATGCAGGCCTATGAGCCATAGCTTAACTTTTACCCTAATAGCTATTGTTATCAGGCACAGTAACAGCATGTTTTTAGTTCAAACTTTGTGCAGTTAACCACAATGTTTAAGAACTAAAACTTACAATTAAAATAGTTTGAAAAAATGTATCTTGCAACAAGGCCGCTTATGAAGTCAGAGGGTAAAAGGGCAGGTGCTTGAGCACCACCTGTCTGTGCACATGCCTGATAGCATAGGACTAGAACCTCTTTCAGTGCATTCCCAGATGGATAAACAGAACAGCACTGATGAGAAAATGATCAGTTTTCCACCTGATACAGTGCAAAATGTTGGAAACAAGCAGCTAGCATTACCTCAAAACACCACCACCACCCAAGTCACATTATAAAACACAAACAGTTTTTCTATAACAGCACTATTTGAAATGACTCAGGAGCCTGGTAACTTTCTAGGACTGAAGAAAATCAGATACTCACCTGTTTGCTAAGGTTAGGCACCTTTGTAAAATATATCTTCTGAAGATTGTTTTTTTCACCATGAAAGCTTGTGGATGAATATTTTTGGATTGATTTTTCTGTATATACCAGTGAAATTTTAGAACTTTTTGTTTTTGTATTTTAATATAAACTAATAAATATATATGTGCAATTCTCTTTTGTCACTCACACTTGATCCTTTAGGTCCCGGCTCTCCGTTTCTTCCTTGAAGGCCCTGAGGTCCCTAAAAGACACAAAATTCAACCAAATTAACAGTTAATCAGTCAGTCAACCAATCTGATAATAAATGAATATCACATAGAGAATGTGGCTGGGGCGCCATTTTGGGAGGTACATGCTGTGTTTACCTGCATAAATTCCTGTTTTGTTTTACTAAAGGTTGTTTAAAATGTTTAGATCTGAATTTACTGACTGTAGGTTGGGAGCTAACGCTAGCTAACAGCTGTCAGCATGTAACACAAACACCGCAGATGAACCAATTTCCATTCTGTCTGTGCTCAAACTGAACACTAAAGTGGATGTTTAGATGTGGTTGAAGCATCTGCTACTTCATGTAGCTGTATGAGAGAGTAATTATTTTTTAAATGAACTTATAGATGTATGCAGTGTATATCTCTATGACTGATAATGAGTCTGATCTCACAGAATTGCACATTTACCCATAATTCAACACAGCGTGATGACAACTTCACACTCTCTACATGTTAACAGTGTTTTTCTTACCCTTTCCCCAGGAGAGCCCGGGGGCCCATCATGACCTGATGCACCCTACGTGGAGGCAGTGATGGATAAAAACTGGTCAGGCACAATTAGTAATGCAGGTGTATTCACTGTATCCATCAGTAATGAGTGATGGGGTGTTACTACTGACAAGAGTCGGCTGACCTTTTCTCCTGATTTCCCTGTCGGGCCTCTAGCCCCCCTGGCACCGCGGGCACCCTGTTATGAGAGAAACATGAGTGAGACTGAAGCAGAGATGGCCATGAATGTTTACTGACTTTAGACAGAGTGGTTCAGACAGATTCACAGCTCATTAAGCAGTGACTCACTGAGTATTGAACTTTCAAGGACTTATTTAGTAGTAAAAGTGCAGTAAGTGATCAATATGATTCTGAGGTGGTGCATTACAATGACGAAGGCTAACATCAACAACAGATTTTCCTGAAGTTAAGTGCACGGTGAAAAATCTTAGTCCATGAGTCTACGGCCATGCTAGTGGCCCCATGTGGCTTTACTTAAGCACAGTGTTGCTGTGAACTAATAAATAACATCAGCACGTTGACATACTCACACAGTGACAATGCTAACGTGCTGATGTTTATTAGATGTAATGTTTGCCATGTTCAGCATCTTAATCTAGAGTGTTGGCATGTTAGCATTCGATTATTAGCCCTAAACACATAGAACAAACCAATGTACTGGACAAATTAAAAATTTTAACTGATGATGGTACTAGATGGAATGCTACGTAATCACCAAAGAAAGGATTGTGTGTATAACAGTTTGTGGCAGTGCATCCAAAGGACACAATTGTCTGTATAACAGTTTGTGGCAGTGCATCCAAAGGACACAGATATTTCACTTAAAGATATACGTTTATAAATAAATAATGTGCAGCTACTATTGCAGTTGTGTTTGTGGGTGTAGCAAAACACACAAGGCTACTCAGTGCTCTCTATGAATCCATGAATGTCCATATCTAAATTAAAGGAAATTAATGCACTGCCTCTTCCTAAGCACATTTTAATCAAGATAAATGACAATTAAGATTCAAAATATACTGTATCCCATAAGTCTTTGTTATGCTGTAAAATCCTCACGGAAGCTGCAGGCCAACAAAGTAGTCCTCTATCTTTGATGAAATGACAGGATGTGCATACTTTCCTTGCCAGTGCAGTTTTACCATAATGTAGCTCACAATTTGTGGAGCTGTTTGATCTTTTCTACTTGAAGTGACCTTCTACAGGAAGATCCATGAGCTACACAAACTAATGGAAGAGAGAATAGCTAGGAAAAGGGGGCAGGACTTTGGCCAGCTCTCTATTCCCAGTCACCTGTTTCACCTGATTTTCAAAGTGCATTCTAGAAACGTCCTAGGGAAACTGATCTGCTTGCAGTAAAACCTTCTGTGCAATTCATGACCTCCTGAACCAGGCAATGTTTTGAGACACAGCACTCACATTTGGACCCCTCTGGCCTGCGGCGCCTGGCTGTCCTGCAGGACCCTGAGTAATAGCACAAAAGACAGGACATCAATGGAACAAGTCTGTTCTTGATATAATATCCTCACAATTTAAACTCTCCATTTACTTTTTTCCCTTTCTCTCCTGTAGCTCCCACTGCACCAGGAAAACCTTCAGAACCCTGGGGAAGAGGAAGGCACACATTAACTTTGTATAAATAAATGATTTCTACTACATCTGTAGCTTGTTTACATTAATTCAAACACTGATTCTTCCATTTATTTTACCTTCGACCCTTGTCGCCCCGGATATCCTGGCAACCCAGGAACTCCCAGTTTCCCCTAAGAAAGAGACACATTGTGACTCACCTAGTACACGTTTATTTGTTCATAAAGATGAGCTAGGAATATTTTTTATCAATTATGATTAGCATTCTATCTGCTCATTTAGCTTTATACCTTCTCTCCAGGTGAACCAGAAGGGCCAGTTTCTCCTAGAGGACCCAATTGACCTTTTGGCCCCTCAGGCCCATCTTCTCCTCTGCCGCCTGGAGGACCATTGTCTCCAACATCCCCCTTTGCTCCCATCTCCCCCTTGGACCCAGGGAAACCATCCTCCCCCTGCAGACAGAACAAAATGAAAGAGACAGCAGGACAGAGCAAAAAAAGTCCAGTGTAATAGACATGATTAAATCACAAATGGCAGTGAAACAGGGTATATCACACTGTGGCTAATATATTTTCAACAGCAAAACATCCTGAATATGCCACTTTCCCTCACTCACCTTCTCGCCTTTGCTTCCCTTTAATCCTCTGATGCCGTCTGCTCCCTGACAAAAAGATTAGAAAAACCAAAGTGGAAGTGAACAAGAAAACCGAAAACACAACATAATTTCACTGGCTGTTCATGACACCGGCATAAGGTTGCAATCATATCAAACTGTTAGCATGCTTTGCCATTAAACTTGATATCCCCAGCATCTTCAATTTTTCAAAGTGAAACTAAGAGAAAATTCAATCTTATTATCAGGCATAAAACTTTCAACACCCACAAACCAGCAAGTCACAAAACAAAAACACCCAAAACAAGATCAACCTCACTGTCTTAATATCTTGTTATTTTACCTGATGCACATAAACCTGAAGTCTAACAAACAAACCTTAACTCCTCGTTGTCCAGGGTATCCAACAGGACCCTGCACTCCAGGAGGACCCTACAAATGAAAACACACACACATTAAGATGCCTGACACCTACTCATCAACTGTAACAGCAGCAATACAAGACACACATAAATGCATACTGCACACCAGACTTACTGGCACTCCCTTTTCACCTGGCGTACCTTCCCTTCCAGAATGACCCTGCAGACAATATGGAAAATCTGCTGTTTACGTGTGTAGCTGTTAGGATTTGGGGCTAGGGAATGCACTGGGTCATTAAGAGCCCTCTGAAGTATAGAAAAAAATACATCTACTTACTGGGGGCCCATCATTCCCAGGTAAGCCCTGCATCCCTTTCTTCCCTTGAGGCCCCTATTAGACAATAAAGAGCTGTCAGTCAATCATTACTTCCACACCCAAAGTGTAAAATCCAACTGAAAAAGTCATACCTTCTCTCCTGGCAGCCCCACTAACCCCTGAGGACCAGGGAAACCCTATCGGACAGATGTGGCATTAGAATTTCTGTGTATGCATTTATGCAAACAGGTTATTTTTGTGAGTATCTGTTCTCTGCTTGTACCAGTATTCCAGGGTTGCCTTGCTGTCCAGGTGCTCCAATTTCTCCTGGTGGTCCCTGTTATCAGCAAAAAATGATGTCATAGGGAGTGATTTGTCATCAAACTCTATTGTCTACTAGTTTTAATACTCACTATGTTTCCCTTTGAACCTTGAGCCCCATCAATTCCTCGAATTCCCTGTGAGGAAAGAAAGAAAACAGTTAAAGGGACTCATTTTTATTTCTTCATGTTCTTGTGTATCAAAACACCCAGGAAAGAACAGGAGCTTTCTGATTACAAAATACTAAAACACTGGAGGAAGTTGTATTCATTTTAAAAGCAGACTGTGATGCTGCTATTCCAGTACTACATGGATTAATTCCCCTAAGGGTTTTTTAAATGTAGAAGTGGCTTTTCTGTCACATACACTCTCTATTCCTAAAACACATATTTCACAGTTCTTCCTCTCTGACTAAAGAGAAAAGACACAAGGTCAGTTGCCTTCTACTGTGTCTTTAATAGAAATGTTCCTGAGGACTGCTACATGAGCCTACTGGGACTATGATTAACTGAACTAAAACCACCTACCCATTTGATTTGGCTATACCATGGCCTTGCTTGGGGCATTTAATAATTAATTAACCAAGGACTGCAAATATTAATCAAATGAAAAAGTGCTTTTTCTGTGTGCAGTCAGAAAATAACAAGAGCTAACGTGTTGTTAAAAGTGCAAGTTATGCAAACTGCTTCAAGTGATACTGTATTTGGCAGAGAAGTGGACATTTCCTCAGACAGGAATTGCATAACATCATGTTTAACAGATGAAGAACTATTATAACATCGTGGTTAGGCACAGTTACAATTGTGTTTTTGCTACACGGATAAACAGAGGTCTGAGGAAGAGATTAATGTGTGTGTCTCTGAATGTTGTGTGTGTGTGTGTTTAGAAGTTCATACTTACAGACTGGCCTAGGGGACCAGAACGACCTCTGGAGCCAGTCAGGCCTCTCAGACCCTGAAATACATTATCAGAGTTACACACATTTAAATACAAAAGCATGTTTGCATGTGCATCTAAAACTTTTTCAGTGGGTTGTCTGAGGACCAAGATTTGGCTTTATGGTTAAAGTTGAAATTAAATTTAGATTAAGGTTAAGGGAAAGTAATCTATTATGTCTAGTAATCTATAATGAGATAGTATCTTTCAGCAGATTTACATGAGAGATAAACACCTGCATTTCACAAACTCCATGACCCCAGTTTATAACACAGGCTTTCTGTTCTAGTCTCAATCCAGGACAGCCGTGATGGCATCACTGGGGCTCTTTTCTCAGATTTTAGAAGATTTCTCTGAAGCCATAAAAGACATTATACAACTGTTTTCATAGCCTGAGTAGTGCTAACCATGATGAGTAAACCGATTTTCAAATATAAAATTGGAGGAGTGGCCCATATGTGTGTGTGCGCTTGCATGAAAACACTCACAGCATCACCTGGTTGTCCTCTTGGCCCAGGTGGGCCCTCTGAGCCCTGTGAAAAACACAAACATTATATTGTACATAGAGAAACACAGACATTCATAAACACGAATACCTGCAACGGCAATGACCTCTCACCTTTTCTCCTGGTTCTCCTGGAGGACCTACAGGGCCTGGCTTTCCCCTGTCCCCCTGAGAAAATGCCCACAGAAGTTGGTCATCAGTATACCGACGTATTAGCTTCACACCACCTCACTGAGCCAGATAACTTACTTTATGCCCTTTGTGTCCAGGGAGCCCAGGCAAGCCATCAAACCCTCGATCCCCCTGGAATTTGGATAAACAGGCAGATGAGTTAATATTTTGAGAAGGCAGAGCTGTCAGTAAGCGAACGCCAGTTCTTCCTCACCTTTGCTCCAGGCTCTCCTATTGCACCACGGACACCATCTGCACCCGCTCGACCCTAATGAACACACAAGCATTAGACATGGTAGATTCCTCACTGACATACTGTAAATGTTTAAGTCACTGAGGAAAAACTACTCCATGGTCATTCTCTGGAATGAGAAGGTAACAACAGACAATAGAAGAGATTTACAGAAAAGCCTGCGGTGAACAGTCTCACCCTTTTCCCATGTCGTCCATTCTGACCTGGAATACCTGTAAGTCCTGGAGGACCCTGGGATGAAAAAGAGGAAAGAGAGCATGAGACAGTTGAGCTGGTTCACAAATGAGTTCAAATGTTATACAACGGAGTGAGGTACTGAGTGTGCTGCCATGACAACCAGCTAACTCACCGGTGGCCCCGTATCTCCAGTCGACCCCTTCAGCCCAGAAGGACCTGGTGCACCCTAGAAACAAAGTTTACAACATTCACTTGTCTGCTTTCGGAACCACTGTCAGCACATGTTAGTGAATATCCTGTAACTTAACATGTAGCTAATGCTTTTGCTTTCACTGTCCTCTACCTAGGGTGGGTTCGGGCCCCACCTGGGACCTTTCTGTGTGGAGTTTGCATGTTCTCCCCGTGCTTGCGTGGGTTCTCTCCGGGTACTCCGGCTTCCTCCCACAGTCCAACGACATGCAGCTTAGGTTGACTGGTGTCTCTAAATTGCCCATAGGAGTGCATGCGTGTGTATGGTTGTTCGTCTATGTGTTAACCCTGCGATGGATTGGCGACCTGTCCAGGGTGTACCCCGCCTTCGCCCGATTGCTGCCCGGGATTGGCTCCCCCCGTGACCCCGTTCAGGGACTAAGCGGTAGAAAATGAATGAATGAATGTCCTCTACCTGCTTTGGGGGTGAGTTCTTGAACCCAGGTTCTGGCACAGCTCAGGAGGTAAGCGTAACAGGTCATTTGCAATGCTAAACACTGCAATGAAGTGTATTAAAACAGGTAACATATTGATACAGGATATCAGATGTGTGTTCTGCTGCCTTGTTGTACATTCGTCAGTCTAAACTGTACATTGTTTTTCATGTTGGAGAGTCCACTGCCATTTTAATTACATTTCTCAGTAATGCTGAGGTTGCCTCTCTAGTTTTAACATCTTATAACACTACGTGTAGTCATCTGCTTTTTCCAGTACGTTGTGAAGTAGTGTGACCAAATGCTATGTTGCTTTCTTGTACTTAATCTCGAATGAAAGAAATAACTCTGATGCTACCATCGACTGTATATAAATGCTGGACAAACCCATCATGATGTCACCCACTGGGTTTTGAAGTCTGGCTGTCGCCATATTGATAGGGCTTTACTCCACCTGCTATGTCTAATGCAGAAATGGACAAAGAGGCAGCGCTTGAGTGTAGCTGAGCTGGGCTGAATAGGCAGAATGAAGCTAAACAGCAGTGGCGGGACCCTCATGCTGTTCACTCAAAGCGGCTACACCCATAATTATGCACAACTTTTAGTCTCAATATAATTTAAACAGGCGAGCTATATAAAAATTCACCCCCATACAGCTGTCATGGAAGGGGAAATTAGCTGTAGAGACCAAAACTGTTTTTGTTCCAGGCTGTAAACATCTTTATTTCTGCTGTAAAGTTGGGCAGTTTAACATGGGAGTCTATGGTGATTAACTCCGTTTTGGAGCCAACCTCAGGTGGCCATTCGAGGAACTGCAGGTTTTGGCACTGGCTTCATTTCTCAGCTTCAGAGGTTGCTGCTTGGCTACTATCCACAGTCTGTTCTGCAGGCAATTATTCACCCTCCACCTGCATTTTCATGAAACACAGAAATGGCAACGTGAACTGATTTCACTCACCAGTGGTCCAGGTCTTCCCCTAAGGCCAAGTGGCCCTGGAGGTCCTTTCATAGCCAGCTAGAAGAGGAGGGAGAAGGAGGAGGAACAAGCCAAATGTCAAGTTCCACAGCAGCTCTGTGTGTGTTTAAAATGTAATGGTGATGGTCTATGTACCTTGGTCTGCTGCAGGATGGCCTGAGCCTGCGCCTCCTGTGCTGAGACCCCAGTGCCTGTCCTTGGATCACCACCTGACTGAAACTGTACACACATTCACACATGCAAAGTTTTTAGTGAATCTCACTACCCCACCCAGTGGTCAATATGTGGCATTGCTACTTAATGCATGTACAGCAATGTTCAGAGGAGTAAAATTAAAGGAAAAGCCTGAATGAATGAGTAGTGAAACATGACACAGAGCAGGAGGGGTCACTAAATGGTTCAAGGGCTTAATAACAATGTCAAAGAAATGGTTAATACGTGTAGCAGCCTTGAGCCAGCTCATTATCAATTACAACATTCAAATATTTTCCTTAGCCCTGAGGCTCTGTTGAGGGTCAATGGTACCGAATAACTGTCACAGCAACATCACTGCAGTTTCTGAGGCCTCAAGCAACAGAAATATCATCATGTTACCGGTATGAGCATGATGTTTCCTGGGGGTCCTTGGATCCCATCAGCTCCATTAAGACCTGGTCGCCCTGGAGGGCCCTGAGAGGAGACAGAAGAAGATAGTAATGGAGAGATGCCAACATATAGTGGACTCCGTTACTCACACAGCAAACAGAGGGCAGTTCGTACCAGCTCCCCGGGGTCTCCTCGAGGTCCTACTGGACCTGTGAGTCCAGGAGGTCCCTGTTGTCCCTGCAGCCACAAATAAAACACAGTCATTTGCAAGTGATATAATCTATTTACTTACAAGCTTCCATTTTTATATTAAAAGACACTGCAGGTTCATTTGTGCTAAAGAGGTCTTTTCTTACTTTTCTTACTCATGCATCAAAAATTCACCAACCTCGGGTCCTGGAGGCCCATGTGGTCCTGTGATCAGGGTTCCCTGCAGAAATTTCACAAAAATCAACCTTTTCTATGAGATTTAGGGCTGAATATTGTTTGACCACTGGAGACTAGTGTCAAAAATAGAATACCAGAGTTCCAGTAACAATACCATCCTCCACCTGACAAATACTGTTGTAGCCAGGTTTTCACATAACATGAAAAGGTATTCTGTTAAGGATTTGGTTATTGAAGAATTGAGACCAAGATATGTGCAGAGCAGAACATTTAGCTGTTGAGAAATAAACTTGTCAGTAAGTGTTGTCAATATATAGTTCTCAATCAATTATTGTGTTAACACAAGTAGCTGTAAGAGCTATTCACCTGAACAGTCTATAAATTGTCATTCTACTGATTTTCCTGATTTAGACCATGAAATATCTTGACAACACCACAACCTTACCCATGGCAAGTTCAGCCCTAGTGTAGATGTGTGTTTGTGTTTTCTCACCGCTCCTAAATAGCCTGGTTCACCTTTCTGTCCTTTCTCTGGTATGTCCTAACAAGAGGATATGGTTCAGAGATAGGAACGACATTAATGTAGATGACTGAGAGGAACAAAGGGGTAGTTTTCTATTCTCTACACTGGATTTCTTCATGTAAACCAGAAAAAAAATTCCTTGACTGCAAAAGTTTGGATGGTACCTGTGCAGCGATGGTGTATTCCCGTTCTCTCTCTGCTGGCCCATAGCGTTCATCGTATTCTTCCTCATATTCATACTCGTTGTTGTAATCTGTAGTGTTGTCATAGTATTCGTACTCTACTATCTGTCAAACAACAATGCACACAGAGACAAAAGATGAGATATAACACAAATACACAAAAGCTCATGCTGCTGTCCTTTGTGCAGTCTCACCTCATACTCAGTGACATTAGGACCTGCGGTCACCATAGAAACAGAGGTGTCGTCATAGGGGTCGCTATAGTCAAACTCCTCAAACTCTTCGACCACATGTTTCTTAGGCACTCTCTCCACCTGAAGACCATAAAATAACCACAATACATGACAGAGCCCAACAACAAAGTTGAGGTAGGATGTCAGCACATGTAGCAGCACATACCCAGAGCACTAAAATAGATGAACAGAACTGATAAAATGAACAGAGATGTCAGAGTGATAACTTTTAGGACATAAATGAGAAATACTTCCTCTACCAGGCTGTCTGGCTGAGTGATCTCCTGCATTAAAAATACCATGAAAAATCCAAGAAAAGCTTGGCATAGTCCCCTCAAGGCACAGCTTCAGCTGGCTGCTTTATTTTGGCTTCTTCAGGCTAGCACAATTCAGCATGACGGCTTCATTGCTGCCTCAGTTCCATGTTTTTCTCCATGCTGAGTTCACTGTTGGTGCTGATACACTAAAACAACTGAGCCCAATAAACCCAGAATCCTGGAGTGTGTTTGAGCTGTAAGCCAGATGATACATTAAGCAGCAGCAGTGAAAGAGGGTTTGAAAAGCAGTGCCACACAGAATCCGGCAAACTACACAGGATCCCAAAACCATGCAGTGTTTTACTAAGAAGGATACAGAGAAACGAGAGAAGGTAAAAGCTCAGTGCACACTGATTTATGAAGTATATCAAGTGCAAGGAAACAAACAGCTGGAGGCATCTGAATGCTTTTGAAACTGTGTGTTTGCACATGCAAATATGTGCAACAGCAACAAACACTTGTCCAAACCCCCACACAGTGAAAACTCCTCCACAGCCCACAACGATTCATAGTACCCAGTACATATATTACTCAAAACAATTAAACCACACATATAGTGGCCACAGCCACCTTCTAAACTGTCCATAAATGCCCAGTTTTCCTGTGACAAATAAAACCTGTAGGGTTCCTTTACTTTTTAAACAACAGTCATTCAACACCTGAGATGTTTCACAGTGAGTGCTACAGTATGTGAGGACTGGGCCAGGTATTCCACGTGGCTGCTTTCTGACTGGGATCCATGTGCTCTTCATGTCTTCGACTAGACATGTGGTTCAACTGTCTCTCTGCTTTTCTGGTTGCCTGTTCAAATAGGACTTGCCTCCTCATCCACTGGTAATATGCTGTCGTAGGGCAAAGGTGCATCACAGTCTGGGATGTAGTCCTGACAGTATGTCTCTGCAGCCCCAGGGTCACTGATGATCAGCAGCTGCTGGATGTCTCCCTGTGTCACAACAGCACACACAAACAAAAATGAGCAAATCTGTGATTCTAAATTACTAAAACTACCACATTGTAGATGTCAACACTGCTCCAAGTGTCTCCCATGTCTTTACCTTTTAATGCATGTGTTCATTTATTCACATCAAAGTTACTAAACAGGCTGTTTTTGTCATTGCTCTGCAGCTAATCATCTCCAAAGTCGGTGCCAGCTTCAGTGGTGCCAGCACACAGACAGACACAAACTCTTGCCCCCTTTCACTGTGTTTTACACATAAACATCACACACATATTCACATACATGGAAGGGCGTCCAAGCCACATACAAGCTAGGAGTTGTTCACTTTAACAGATGGACCACTTGACACAGCTGCGAATGTCAGAGTTCACACTTAAGATCTGTTGAAATGACCTCAAATGACCCGGGGCCACAACAGAAACACAACTCATTTGGAAAACATTTTTCCAGTGTTATTGTGAATAACTTGCAGGATTTTGTGAGTTTAATCAAGACAGTGCTCAGATAATAAAGGTTCATATTGTACGATATTTACTTGCATAATTATTTGTCATCAGATTTATCTGATAATACATTTAAATCCTCTTCAGCTGTGCCGTACCAGGCTCAGAGCAGCAGGGAAAGGTGGAGTACAAGCTCACAACCACTGGAGGGCAGTGTAGTGAGACAAGGCTTTATTCATTTTTCAGGTTGTTGGCTAAATGAAACAAGAAGCAACAAGCACAGACATTTCCTCACATGCACAAGGAACTTATTATGTGATTTCATTCTTTGTATTTTTGCCAAGACATTTTAGTTTTTATCAAAGTCAGAATTACTGTTACTGTAACAAGGTGAATGGTTTGGATCCTAGTTTTTCCCTATCAGCACAGGTCATTCCTGTAGAGCCAAGGCGTGCGCAGTGGGGCCGTGCTGAGCTGCTCCCAGGTCAGCATGGTAGAAACACAGGCCAACCAGTGCCCGCCTGGCTTGGCATGAATAAAGTGGGCTGACCACCAGCTCCACTCACTTCATCCTTTGTCTTTAACCCCACTCAGTGTCTCATACAAACACATAAACACACACATACAGTCAATGCACACGCTGATATCCCTACCTCAAACACGCCTTCATCCAGCAGGCGAGTTCCAAACACAGTAACACCCTCAGTGCTAATGTGGGGGTCATGACCTCTGAGCAGGTCCAGGGTGTCCACCTCGTCACAGTCCAGGTAAAGAGTCACTGACTGGCCCTCCACCCTGTATGCTACCCTGTGCCACCTGGCAGGAAGGAGAGAGTTAGAAGTTCACTCATTCTCTTCTTTTTTGTTGTGCATGCTTCTCTGCATCACCACAGTAACTTTTCAATGATAATTTTCTATTCTTATACTCCATTTCTGTAACACCTGTCCAGGGACCACAGATGGAAAAACAGCCTCTTGGCTAACCCTGTTGCATTTACAGCAATGTCTATTAATGTACACCGTTCCTGTTAAATGAACCAATAAAGGAATAAATCCAAATGGAATGTACTTCCCGCTGGATGTCAAAAGTGTGTGTATGGGTGCCTGTTACCCACTTGCCATCAGCCAGGTTGATCTTTCTAAAGGTGGGGTAAAGTTCTGGAGGTGGTTGACCCTCATGGTCCTCATACAGGAAGACAGGAGAACGAGCGATCTCTATACCCAGCTGCTGTGTGCCCTGAGATACAGAGAGAAGGAAGGAAGGAAAGTGGGATGTTGGGATAAGATCATCATGTCAGACTAGTATTAACAATTTCCATCTAGTGTGTTCTTTATGTTTAGCCATTTACAGTGCATTAACCAACTGTATGCTGGTTAGTGTAAATGGGATGCAGCATTTACACAATATTTCCATGAAGATTCAGTCTTTGGCAAATATTTAATAAATTTAGCAAAACTGATAAAACATATTCCCATTCTGGGGATGACCTGTGATGCTGATCCAAGTAGGAATGCCTCCTGCACAATCTCAGTCTAGCGGGTTGGTTAATTTGGCTGAATTATCTGAATATAGGCAGAGGTTCCCTGTTTTTTATAACAATTTATAGTGGATACATTTAAAAGACAGAACATGCCAAGTGACAGAAAGCTGAATTGTTAATAATTCAGCATGATGCTTGGTTTCTTGGTGTATGATGCATACCTGCGAATCATACAGGGAGAGAAGAAAGACCTGTGAGCTTTTTACAGCTCTGACTGTTGTCATCACTGAGAAATTCACTGGGAATGACGAATCTGGAGGGAATACACATACATACATACATACCCACACTTAGTTCATTACTGCATCAAACAAGCCCACACAGAGATTTGCATTGGTCCATGCATTTGTTACTTCCAGGCTGGACTACTGTAACTCTTTACTATCAGGATGTCCCAATAATTCCCTAAAAAGCCTCCAGTTAATCCAAAATGCTGCAGCCAGAGTAATGTTAATGACAAGGCTCCATCGTATCTTAAAGACCTCGTAGAGCCTTATCATCCTAACAGAGCACTTTGCTCTCAGAGTGCAGGTTTACTTGTGGTTCCTAGAGTCCACAGAAATTATTTCACAATGTCATTAATCCTAGGAAAATAACAATTATTTAAGTTGTAGCAATTAGGGGGGTGGGGACTAATGAAAGCTGCAAACTCGTGTCAAGTTACCAGATCCCCTTATTCCAGTGATTTTTATTTTACCTTCTCTCCTAAGCTAAATGGAACCTATCGCCTGCTGAGATGGCCTCTTGTTGCACAACAGAGCACTTCTTTGGCTGAACAATGAAACTGTCTTGAGGAAAGTAGTATCTCATTGAGATGCTGCTAATCCTCCCAAGTATAGTAAGGGGTTTTTCTGTTATAGAAACCTACTGAAACATGTAATGACAAGTAACACTCGTCACGGGTTCTGTTTGTTTTCACTGACCTTACTCTTTACTATCAGGATGTCCCAATAAATGTCCCTAAAAAGCCTCGAGTTAATCCAAAATGCTGCAACCAGAAACTAGCGAGAGAGAATCTCTCTCTTATTAGCTTCTCTCCACTGGCTCACAAAAAATCCAGAATAGAATTTAAAATCCTTGTACTAACATATACAAAGCCCTTAATGACAAGGCTCCATCTATCTTAAAGACCTCATAGAGCTCACTCCTCTGTCCACTTACCCCAACTGGTTGAGGCAGAAGGCCGCCCACCAAGAGTCTGAGGGTCTGTCGGAGGTATCTTGTGTTAAAAGGGAGTTTTTCCTGCCTACTGTCACCAAGTGCTGCTCAGGGGGGATTTGTTGTGTTTTCCTCTATAATATTAGTAATAGTAAAGTCCAGACCTCACTTTGCAAAGTGTCCTGAGACAACTTTTGTTGTGATTTGGTGCTATACAAATAAAACTGAACTGAATTGAAAATAAAAAAAAACTGAATGAGGACTTACCAGGGAAGAGTTGCCTAGTAGGCACACTCAGTTGTATCTTCTTGTTGATTTTAAATGAGAGGTCCGTCTCCTCTCTGCCTTCTCTGCTGGTGCACAAACCTGCCTCCAGCGACACACCTTCCATGTCCTCTGACAGCTCCAGGACCTTCAGGACATCAATGGGATTGGCTGCCAAAAGACATGAAACAGTATGAATGAGAGGACAGGAGAGTCTGACGGCGAGCTGATCTGTGACTGTTCAGTCCAGTCACGCAGGTGTCTCTACAATTTGACTGCAGTGGCACGCTGCCTAAGTTGGACCTGCCACACAGTTTCAAAAAGCCTTTACTCGGTGCTGCTATAGAGCACTCAGTGAGTTACTGATGGCCGGTCTTCTTTGTAGGAGTCCTGGATCGCCACTGCCAGTCCAGCATCAGCCCGCTGTCCTGACACAGCATATAAACAAAGATACAACTCCCATCATACACACTGTCACACCTCAAACAGCAAAAAAGTAAAAGAAGGTTTTACGTTGCTTTCTTAAAAATATTGTTGACTAAGATAACTGAATAAAAGCGAAGGATCTGTAACCTTTGTCTAGAAGCCATTTTTACTGTAGGTGTCCTGTTTTTAAAGCTGCACTAATCAATAGCATTTATACTAATCATCAATCAAACACTTCAGAGATTTTAAGCTTCATTCTGTGCATTTCTGACTCAAAATATTCTATTGGTGACCACTTTTAGCTATAAACAAGCTCTGATAGATCCACTATGCATTTCCTACTCAGCACCAAAAGCAGATGAGCATTAAAGTATTTTCTCTAGCAATACAAAGTTTGCTATTTTTGTGTGAGGTTAGCTCTGACATATGTGGTTGATGCTGCCTCTATAAGTACTGTAAGCTACCTGGTAAAGAAACTAATTAAATATTTTATCAGTCTGGCCATGTGCTGTGTCTGTCTCGCTTTCCAGGACACATACTTGCTGTAGAAGCTTAACGTAATCACATGCTAACACACATCTTGGCACTGACACACTCACCACATAAAGTCTGCATCACACAACGACGAACAATACCAGAGGTCAAAAATATAAAGATGTGTTGTGACAATTACAGGCACAAGAAACACAAAAAAATAAGAGAGATGTTTGAAAGATATGGCCACAGCTGTAGATCAGGCAGAAATGCTCAACATATGTGTCACACACATGAGATTTCTTTCATATACACGCATTCCACTGTGACTGCTGGAGAACACAGCAGAGGAATGTGCAACATATTGAAGGTGAAATGGGAAAAAAGGGGTAAAGCGAGAAATAGAAGAAATAATAGATGGCAGGGGAGAGGAGGGCAAGTCTCTACTGGTGGGGCTTTTTTCACGTATTTCTAAGGCTTACGTAAACCCTCCATCTGCCGAGCACCTTTCAACACACACACACACACACACACATACATGTGCATGTGCACAAAAGGTTGACATAATATCTGAGTCTGAGTTCACCGAGTAGTTGTTATTTTTTCATTTTTTTCAGTTTGCACATCTGTCTGTCTGTCAGCCTTAATTGTTTCATGTGCTTGGCATAATCTTATGTATTGATGCAGCTAATAATGCTCAATTTAAACGTCCAGTGATATGGTGACCTACTCATACTGTAAAAATCCCATTTTTGTTACTTTAAGAGCTGAGAAACATCTGTAAAAAGTTGACATTTAGGAGATGATTTGTTTTTCTGTGAGAACAGGAGCCCAAATTTAACAACCACACAAGTTTCACATAAACCCTTAAATCTACAAATGATCTGCTAAAATGTGAATGATTTATTATGAAATTATCCATATCCGTTATCTATACCGCTTATCTTGAAGAGGGTCTCGGGGGGCTGGAAACAATCCCAGCTATCACTGGCGAGAGGCGGCGTACACCCTGGACAGGTTGCCAGTCTATCACAGGGCTGACACTTAGAGACACACAACCACCCACACCCACATTCACTCCCACGGGCAATTTAGAGTTAACAATCAACCTAAGATGCATGTCTTTGGACTGTGAGAGGAAGCCGGAGTACCTGGAGAGAGCCCACGCAGGGAAAACATGCAAACTCCGCACAGAAAGGTATCAGGTCGGTCGGGGCTCGAACCTGGAACCTTCTTGTTGTGAGACGACAGTGCTAACCACTGCTCACCATGCTGCCCCCTATGAGATTATCTAAATGGTGAAATGTGTGTGACCAAAGATCATTATCAAATAGGTTAAATGAATTAGTCCTCAGAATGTGACTGTAGATATAAATCAGGTCAAGTAGGGTCGACCTGCACCATGACTCACCACCTGCCCTTACAGGATGCAGCTGTGAGTAAATTATACTGTCATGAATTTATTTATTTATTTCGAGCAATAGTAACATATAACAAGGCAATAAGAAGCATTCGATCCATACAAGGTATAGTCACACAAACAAACTCTGAGTGGCCAGAAAAATAGAAGCACCTGTACAGAGCAGCTGCGTACAGAGCCAAAAGAGATGCTTTCCTCTGCTTCCACCGTTTATGCTAAACTAAGATAATCTGCTGGCTACTGGCTGTTGCTTTATACAAACCACTAAACTACTCCTTTAAAACTGTCCTGCCCACTTTATTCTTAGTGCAATGACAGAGCTCCATTTGGAAGTCTTTACCAATAAACACATTTTGACTTTAGTATTTCACACACATTGATTGCTAACCTGTGTGCATGGGTTATTAATCTGTGTGGATACATTTTCATTATACCCTTATTCCTACTCCATCCCCCCTGGAGGGGCTCTGTAATGTTGCATTACATTATATAAGGGCTTTCTCTTTTTCTTTGTTCATCATTAGCTCCCAATCTGTTTTCCTTTTTTGCCACAGAAAGGCTACAAAGCAGCAGTTCACACCTGTTAAGAGACAATGGCCAGTCTTGATGGGACACTTCTCCTGATATATAAGCAGTGTGAACAAGAAGAGTTGTTTCGATTCCACATACCAAGAAATGATCGGCAGCGCTGACATCTGAATGCAACAGAGGACAAGATGAGACATGCTGCCTTTGCTCTCACTCCATATACACTTAAACACATTAGGTATAGTTTACCAATGCTGTTGATGCATGACTACATACAAGCCCAAAATAGCATCCACATGATGTGCACAGATGCATGCATACACACACACACTCACACTGTACATATACTGTGCTGCACATAGCCAGGTGGTGTGCTGGTCTCCATCAGTTACTGCTAGTATCCCGAGGCTCTAAACTCTGGTGTGAGGGGCACCATGATCAACATGCACACACTTGCAGAGCATGTCGGATGGAAGCCTCAACATAAAGCAGAACAGCCACAGTTTGAACAGGAATATCCACAACAAGAGCAAACTATTCAGGTACACCACTAAAACAGACAGGGAGACAGCACAACCAGATAATTCTGCTTTACTGCTCATTTCAGCCATAATTCCTATAGGTAATAGTAACACTGTATCTTTGCTGGGACATGGGAATGCATTTTTAAGTCACCATTTGACCAAAGTTATTTGGTAGAAAACATCCATCAAAGTTTACAGACCCAATTTCCTGTTTCCCCTTTCACCTTGAGGGATTTCTACATAAATTTCAGGTGTACCCACTTCCAGTTTTACCTGTCATGAACCTATTCCTCTATAAAGACACTGAAAAACTAAATGTGCTGTGGATCTGTCACTTATGGCCAATACCTGATCTGTGTAATAATGTCTGCATCCAAACTATGGACAATACAAATGTTTAACTTAGAAGATGTGTTCCAAAAAAAGAGAAGCAGTGAAGTAGAGGCCACTGTGGCTAAGGTTCCACATTTTTATACAATGGACGTACAAATAAGTGAGTTGCTTCAGCAGACTCACGGCACAAACAACACACTGGCGCGCACACACACGCATACCCAGAGACAACTTAATGGGCACCACATTGCAAAGACTATGGATTTTCTGAAAAACAGATGTGTGTCTGTGTTTGTGTGTGTATGACTGAAGACCGGCTAAATGGCTTTTTGTGTACGTGTGTGTTTGTGATTAGTCTGTCATTATTTCAGTAATGGTAAAGAATGTAAAAACATGCAATAACAGAAACAATATGCAATGTTTAATCGAGCCTCCTAAACCACTGCACAAAAACATACACACACACACACACCGAGACTGAAACCCCCACAGAGGATGTGCCCAAAGACCCTGTCATTCCACTCCGTTACCTCTTTTACTCTTCCTCCTCCTACACTCAAGCATGTGACATGGCTCTTCTCAGGGAAGAAACCAGGCAAATGAGAAAAAGAGGAAGATGAAAATCAGACTGAAGAGGTGACTAGAGTGCTGAGGGAAGAACAGGACGGAGGGCCCACATGTTTTCTTTCCTCCCAGTTTAGCTGGCTCTGATCAAAGAAACACACTCTACAGTATCCTGCTGTCTGACACACACACAGACACACTAGTCTGTGCATACAGCACACACATGCATTTACTTAGATGAATCGCTAATATTTCTTACAGAGAAAGGGAGTGAGAGGTCTGCAGACAGACAGACAAACAGACATGGATATCCTTCTAGGAATCTGTGGCACTCGTGTTGAAATCACAGCTCGAACATTCATTCACAGTTCCTCTCAAACACAGATCAAAGACTGCATCAATATTTGTCATTCACAGGGTCCCACGTCTTTCTGGGCAGCTTCACACTGCTTTATGTGGCTCTGGGCTCTATTATTGTTGGATGTTGCATCATACAGTGACTTTGATTTTGGAGAACAAAGAGTGAGCCTATTTTCAATCACAAGAAACATTTATAGCACAGAGACCCACTGTACTACACTTGTAAAGAGTACAATATAATGACACAAATGATTATCACCAGCATTTTAGTTATGTGCATTTTTGTGTTCTGCATGAGGCCAGTCAATATTCTCTGTTACAACCAACATCTTCACATCAAATCATGGTTACCATCACAACATAATGTACTTAGAGGACTGATTCGTAGGCGAACTAGAAGTTACCATGTGTAGCAGACAGTGCCTTTACTTGAACAAAGGAATCAGTTTAGAGTCTAATGTTATCACATACAGTAAGAGCTGCTTGTGCAAAATAGAGTGGTGCTTGTTATGACTGTAGGCTCAAAATCAACCAAGCAGCCA